GTGGAGCCTCTGCAGGGTCTCTGAGAAGGAGCAGGGCAGTGGTGAGGCCGTGGCACTGTTGTCTCTGGGGTTTTATCTCGTATCCCTCATGGACAGTCAGGAATTGATGGGAAATTCCCTCCTCCCACCCCCCAAAAAGGGAGTTTGGAGCCCTCGGTCAATTCGTGTTGAGGAATTTGCCATCAGAGCCCTAAATCCAAACTCCTGCCCCTGAAGGCTGGAAATATTGTTGGAAATAATTGGAAATAATGTTGGAGCTTCCTTCAAGGCTTCCCAAAGGGAAATTCCAGCTCCATGGGGACAAGGCTGTGCCACGCTGGGGTCACTGCAGTGCCACTCCTCAGGTGGCCACCAAAAGCTTCCCATGGCCTCCAAAACCCTCCCATGGCCACCAAAACCTTCCCACAGCCACCAAAACCTTCCCATGGCCACCAAAACCTTCCCACAGTCACCAAAACCTTCCCAGGGCTACCAAACCCTTCCCACAGTCACCAAAACCTTCCCATGGCCACCAAACCCTTCCCACGGTCACCAAAAGCTTCCCATGGCCACAAACCCTCCCATGGGCTCGGATGTGCTGCTCCGGCTCCCCAAATCCAAAGCTCTCCCAGGATCAGCTGGAAAAGGTTTTTCCTGCCCTCCTGGAATACACCCTGCATTCCAAATGAAATCACATCTCCAGGAATTCTTATTTTCTATTTCTTTTTTCCCCTCCCAAATCCCAGCCCACAGAGAGCATCCAGGCCTGGCAATGGGAATATAAAGGTGGCAGAGGGAAGAGCTCGATCCATAGGCAGGGACATCCCCATGTGGAAGTTTATTAAAGCTCAAGGCAGTCATAAAAATGCCTTTTAATCATTTCTTTGCCGCAAAGCTACCAAAAAAATAAAAAAAACCCCAAACAATACAGTGTAACACGAGTTGATGTCACTCCAGGAAAAATTAAAACGAGGATGGGAAGGGACTTTTTTTTTTTCCAGCCTGCAGAAAGAATGTGGATATGGTCTATAAAATTAATTTCCTCTTTCTTGCTAACCAGCGCTGTCTGAACTAAACAGCAACACTCTTTATTCCCTGCTCCAAAAAAAAAAAAAAAATCAAGGGACTTTTCTCGCCCGTGGATCCCTGCAATTATCTTGAGAAGCCTTTTTTTGTTGGCAGCCAGGGGTCAAAAGGCAGCCCTGGTTTCACCTGATCTCATTGACTTTGCGGAGACATTCCAGCCCCACGCCAGCACAGAGCCACCAGCCCCGAGCACGGGACACACAATGCTGCCATTCAGGCCTGGAAAACTCATGGAAAATCCTTCTCCTCCTGCGGCCCAGCTCAGCAAAGGGAAGAGGAGGACAAGGCGTGGAAAGGCAGCTGGGCCAGCAGCAGTAATTTCTGATCAAAATGCTCTTTTTTGGGGTAAAAACTGATCTGTGTTTTCCTCACAGTGAAATGAGGGATTCCTCAAGTGTAAATTGAGGAACGGGGAATGAAATTCTGGAGATCTTGGGAATGTCCAGCTCCCCCTGAACCCTGAGGTTTAGCCCTGGATTATCCAGGGTTTACCTGCCTGGCACCTTCCTGAACTTCCATTCTGTAACATCTCTGAGTTTTACCCACAGCGAATGTCCACAACCCCACAAAATCCCAGGAACTGCTCCCTGGAATTGCTTCCAGGGGCTCTCCAACACCTCAACCCTGGAAGTGTCCATGGCCAGGCTGGATGGAGCAGCCTGGGACAGTGCAAGTTGTCCCTGCCCAGGATGAGCTTTTAGGTCCTTTCCCAACCCAGACCATTCCAGGATTTGATGATTCCAAATTCGCACCTATGGAATGGATCTAAATTATAGAATACAGATTTCTGATATGTAAAATCAGGGTTGGACATCCACGATCCTTGTGGATCCCCCCCAGCGCCAATTCCACGGTAAAATACAATACAGATCTATATGGTAATACACAGCTTAATTACTTTATTTCTGTAAATACCATTAAAAATCCAATTTATTTCTGCAAAGCTTAAGGGAAGTACAACCAACAGTGGCCACAGCACGCGGGATTAAAGCCTGCCTGGTTGGGATGTGCAGCCCTCGGGATGAGAGCACAGCTCCACGCTCATCCTGCAGCTCCTGGGTGGGAGCAGGGTGTGGCACTGGGTGGCACTGGGAGAAGGGAAAGGAGACAGGGGAGAGACTGGGATCCTGCTGGATCCCCTCCCCGTGCTCTCCCAGGAGCGCTCCAGCGCAATCTTTAAGGAGTTGGGGTGATTTTCAATGTTTCACGTCATTATTTTGGGTGATTCACCCTTTTATCACACGCAGATATTTTGTTTTATCGGCCAAGCCGCTCCAAGCTGCACCATCAAACACCCAGAAGAAAGCAAAGCTCATTCCCAAAGATATTCCCATCTTTTTTATTTCCTTCTCCCCCTCCCAGCGCGCAGGTTCGGAGACAAACCCCAACCTCAACACGCCGAGGGGGCAAAGCCAAAACTCATCCATTTTCCAGGCATAAATCAGGATTAAAGGGAAATCTGCAGTGTCACGGGAGGGAGGAGAAGGGAGGGAAGGGAATTACGCTGCACTTTGGCTCCGGCTGGAAGCAAATCCTTCTGCCAGGAGCGCTGGAAAGGAGCACGGAGAAAATGGTGTCGCCTTCCAGCCTCTCTTGGCAGAGGCTGCAAACAGCGCATTCCGTGTGGGATTCTGCTCCCAGCCCTCCTCCGTGGGCTGCAGCTCCATTAATTGTCATCACATTTATTCCCCCTCCTGTCCAAGCCTTTGCTTTCAAGCAGGGAGGGCTGAAATTCCCAAATCCCAACTTTTTTCCTCCTCCTGGATTGAGACCCCTTTGCTCCCCTGACAGACAAAACGCAAAGTGAAAGTTTTCCGTAAGAGAGGAAAAGTTACAAATGTAACGTAATGTAACAATTTTAATGACAGCATTGAAAAAAAGAAATAAACCACGCCTGACACGGTATAATTTGGTTGCTCTGGTAATTCAGAGGGATTTATTGAGCAGGGCTCACCAAGCAGAAAAGGGAATTTCTTCCTGTAAATTCCCTACAGAAGGAAAATCAACGGGGGCTAAAACCACGCGGGCTGACCTCGCAAACCTGCCCTCACGTGAGCAGCCCGAAATCCCACGAAATCCTTGGGATTACGGGCATGGAAATGCCCTTCTTACAGGAAAAAAAAAAAATTAAATTAATTTATTTGTAGTTCAAAAAAATCTCAGAGTAGGACACAAAGCGCAGGGAAAATGAGCGAGGGGAAAAAAAAAAATCCAGACTAAAAGGAAAAGAAATCATTGATGAAAGTACTTTATTCTGAAGATTCCATCGCCTTCCAAACTGTTTTCCCAGGTTTTTTTTTCCCCACCTCAGAAAACAGGCTCAAGCAGAATGAAAACAGAACACGTCCTTGATAAAAAGCACTTTTTAATTTTATCAAATGGATCTGTACAAAAGTTAGCATTGCTTAGTCAGAAGCGAGTGAAGAAGAACAGATCAGTAACAACCAAAAGTCTTTCAAACTTTATACAGAAAAATAGATTGCATAAAAATGAGCTTTTTTTGTCTTTTCCCCCCCGCAGCCCGGCGTGTCCCTCCCTCCCTCCCCACCCTTCCACCGAAAGGAAATATGCAAAAAAATATTTTTTAGAAAAAAGAGTAGGAAACGTAGAAAAGGTAAAAAGATGAATAACCTCTGAAAGGTGGGTTTAGATTTACAAAGGCTTTTAAAGGCACGAGTTCCCATAAAATAGATGGTTATTTATATGCTCAGCATACAATGGAAGAAGTAGAAATATATCAATGAAATATTAGTCTAAAAACTAAGTACCCTAAACCCATTTTTTTTTAGTGGAGGAGATTTTAGTTTCACAGCTTGATGGATGATATCTGGTCCCTAAAAGCCAAAATTAAAGCAGAAGTCGATCGTTTCTCATGAAATCACAGCTCCTTTAAAGTAGTCCTGGTTCTGAAAGCCTTCGAAGACTCCTGAAATCCGATTTTAACAGCCCAAAACAGGTGGCCAGAAAATCACCTGCCCTTTTTAGGCAGCCTTTGAGCCTCCCAATCGAATCAGTAATTCCCCCCCTCGTTATTTGCCATTCCCATCGGAGTTTCCAGGCGGATTCCTTCAGTCTCTCTCTCCAGCACGGCTCCTGCAGCGGTTCCAAAATGAAAAAAACCCAAAAACCAAGGAAAATCTATAGACTCATAACACCAGTTTATTGTATCATCTCCACTATTTTTTAGGCTCCCTCCCCCATCTTTAAAATCTTTTAAAAATTCTACTTTTTTTTTGTTTTGCACAAAATTACTTCATTAATTAAAAGACAAAATAATACAGAACATAAATACATATTTAACAGATTTAAAAAGAAAAAAAAAACCAAAAACAAACCCAAAACAAAACAACCAAAAACATTTGAAGCTTCCAAACAGCAAAAAAAAACCAAAACAAAAACAAAAAACCAAAACAAAATGTTAATTACAGCCAAACCTTGCTTAGAAGAACTCCTGACTTAAAAAAAGAAAAAAAACCAACAAAAAATAATCAACAAACACTTCAGACATGGAATTGGTTGGTCCCATCAGACTCTTCCCACGGGATTGTTCTGGGATTTGGGGGCTCATCCCTGCTGGTCCCAGTGAGTTCCTGCCCTCAAGGTTGGTCCGTTCCTCACATTGCAATAGACCCTGAAAGTCTCAAACAGCTTTTGTGGTGGTGTTGTTGTTGTTTTGTCTCCCCCTCTCTCTCTCCCCACTCTCTGCTCCACGTTTGGCCAAACTTCCAGGCTGAGAGAGTTCAGCTCAGTCCTCCCAGAGGAGTCGAACGTTTTTGTCCTTCATTTGCTCAAAAGGCATCGCCGGTCCTTTTCCTTTTGTTGTGTGGTTTTGTTTGTGGCTTTTTTTTTGTTTCCCTCTTGTTTTGTTTTTTAATTTTTAGTCCTTTGTTTGGTTGGGTTTTTTTTGTTTTGTTTTGTTTGTTTTTTTAATTGAATTTCTTAAATCCTACAAATCAAAGAAAAAAAAAAATAACAGAGCTCTGTCCCTTCGGGGAGTTTCGAAGCAAGGTCGCGACGAGCAGAGTTCCCAGCGGCTCAGGAGGCACTTTGGAACACTCCACGCTCTTCCTCCTCATTCCTTCATTAGTGCATAATTCCAAGGAAGCCTTGGGAGGCTCCGGGAATCCTTTAAGGCCTGGTCAGGGTGGTGTAGACGGGCTGCTCCCAGTTGGCGGTGGGGCTGTGCGCCGGCGGGATGGACAGCCCGTTGAGGATGGGGGTGGCGTAGGGGCGGCGCGAGGAGTGGAAATAGGGGTACTGGTAGAGGCTGGAGGCGTAGCCGGGGTAGGGGTTGTAGTAGTTGGAGCTCTGCAGGTCCGTGTAGTCGCACTGGGAGCTGGAGAAGGAGGCAGCGGCGGCGGCCGGGGCGGCTGAGGTGGCGCAGGCCTGGCCGCCGTAGGAGCCGTAGGAGTCGGAG